ATAACAAAACCAGCCCATGTCCCAAATCAAAGTCAGATTTGTGTGTGTATTCAGCTCTCTGTCCACTATACACATGTACAGATAGTTACAAAACAGCTTCCATTACTATTTTCAGATGCACATAACTTTCCCAAAAAATTTTGCTCTGAGGCTGAAATTTTCTATGCCTGACCTCAATCCAAAGGCGACTATTTTTTAAATGTAATTTAGCTGCTTTCAGGTTCCAGAAAGGTGAAGAAGAACACACCTTAGCCAGTCTTTGTTTAGACTTTGGAGTAGCAAAAGTGGCTGAAGTGTGAAGCTTTTCAGATAAATTGTCTTTCACTTTTGGCACAGAAGCCTTCCCCTGGCCATGATTGTGCTGAGCTGCTCAGGTTGCAAGTAATTTCCATTCCTAGGAGTAAATCTTCACAAAAGGCTTCCTGCTTGGCAGAACGCTCGCTTGTATGGGCAGGGAGCAGTTTCCATCAGTAGCTCTCAAGTATAGTGACTTTGGGTGTGGAGGCTGTATCTGACCTTGGCTCTGTGATATTATTTCTGGACAGTCTGGAAGTGGAGTGGGCGGTTGAGTGCACATCCCAAGACAGACTGTTGGCCAGAATTGTCTGGGCCAGTACGGAGCTAGCAGGGTTAGTCCGTCTCGCACATCACCCTGGGCATGTATGGGATACATGAGGCCTTGATCCCCAAGATACAAGGAATGTGTCATGCAATAAACCCGTGCGCCCCTGTTCTGTTTGGTGGCAAATGAATGCATCGAGGGATTTCTCCTCTGGTGAAATACTGGTTGGATGCCGGAACTCTGCAGTGACCCCGTATGGTCTGCTTAGGAAGTCTGCTGGATTGTTGCTGATTCCTCGAAGATGAAGGGGCTTTGCTCTAGTATGGCAACGTTCAGGTCTGCTACTGTCTAGCTAGGGAGGTTAAAGTGCTCTCCCACTGGCTTTGGACGTTGCCATTCTCCGTGCCTGATTTGTGTCCATTGATTCTGTTGCACAGAGACCGTCCGGTTTGGCACAATGAGCAGGGCAAAGGGGCGGTGCTGGCGCATGGTGGCATGTATCACATTAGCAGAGGTGCCGGTGAGCCAGCCTTTGATGGTGTGGCTGGTGTGTCACTGGGGGAGATGAGTGCTCGTCTCTGCGCTCTAGCACGTGTCCGGTACAAGGCAGGACACTGAGAAAGCTTGGCATGACTCTTTCTGCGCGCTGCATTCCCCGTCCCAGCAGAGGGCAGGCTTTCCCTTCAGAGGCTGCACACCGGGGCGTGCGCACCCAAACAATCGTTCTCCTCACGTTTTTCAAGTTCGGTTTCTAGCCTGAGGGGCCAGGGCCCATGGTTTGCGATAAGGGGATTTTAAACAAGTGTTCTTTCCTTCTGGGGATGCTGCCAGCATGCACGTGTGTCCTCCATAGCTACAAAGTAGAGCAGCGGCGGGAGGCAGGAAATGGAGATGCAGGTGTTAGCACTTCGAGGGCTATTTTACTGTTGGAAACGCTAATACAGATCACGGTCTGAGCCTGGCATGGCACCTTGCAGCGTTATTGGCTCCTTGCAGAATGGGCGTGACGTGCTTTGCACGCGCGTCGCACAAGTGTAAGGCCATCCCATGGTTTTGGTGTTGATGAGTTAAGCTAAGGTCTCTATGCAGATTATGGGCCTCGTTTTCCTGCTGTACCCCGAGTGTAAGTCGAGTGACCCCCAGTTCCAGCCAGTGGCGTTACAGCAGCCTGGCACCAGTGGAAGCAGCAGGATGGGCCTTGTTTTCCTGCTGTACCCCGAGTGTAAGTCGAGTGACCCCCAGTTCCAGCCAGTGGCGTTACAGCAGCCTGGCACCAGTGGAAGCAGCAGGAGACCCCGGTATTGTGGCTGTGGCACTTGCCGGTCCCAGGAGGCCCGTAGCCGCGGTTGCTGTGACTTACACACTTGGCTGGTGGGCAGCGGGAGCTCTAAGGTTGGTGGCTGCAGCTCATGGGACCCGCAGTCTCAGCTGGGTATGTAAAGGCAGTGCGGGGGAGGGGGCAGTCACCACATGGAAACAGGTACCAGAGTGGCTGGCACCTGCTTAGGAGCAGGGCCCTGGGCTCCTTGCTGGCCAGCGCTAGAAAGCGGCTTCTTACCCGCTGTGCCAGAGAGGAGGGAGCCTGTCTGCACGCCAGCCCTGCCTCAGCCTGGTCACGACGACGGGCCCCTGTTCTCAGAACACTCCTCCAGCCTCCGCAGGCACACACCCTCATCCCACTTCACCCACCAACACTCCTCTCTTCAGTCCCAGCTCTGCCCCTCACAGCCGCGTGACCTCGCCACTCACTGCCCACCCACGCGGGGCCATGCAGCCTCCAGCCCCTCTCCCGCCACGCACAGGGGGCAGGCAGGCGGCTGATTCTGCTTGCACCCAGCCATGCTCCTTGGAGCAGAGAGTGAGGAAGAGACCAGAAACTCAGAGGTGGGGTTCTCCCCTGCCCTGTCAGTGCTGGGGCAAGGGGCCCCACATCCCGTTTTCATCCAGTGCCAGCCAGCAGAAGCTTTCGTCCCTGGGGGCATGCTCTGGCTTACAGCCCTTGCATAAAGTTCTTCACAAGGCCAGCTGGCGCAGGAACCGTCCTTCCGCCTTCCTCGCCCCGGAGAATCCCCTTACCTCACAGCGGCTGGGGGACGCTGGAGGCAGATGTTGGACCTAGCAACTGCCGCCAATTGAAACCAGAGAGTGAGACTAAGCAGGGAGGGGCCCTTCAGGGTTGTCTCATTTCTGCAGAGCAGAACCTCGCGCCGTGCAGCCGAGGTGCCGGGAAGCCTGGCCATGTGTATGAAGGAAGGAAAGGGGTCCGTGCAAGCGCCTTATTCGATGCCACAAAAGCAAGCCCTGGTCCCTGGGGCCACGCGTCCGCACGGGCCTCCGCAGCGCCCTTATGCACAGCTAGAAGGCTCCCCTCGGAACATGGCATGTCCTTGTGGCGGTGAAATGCCACCATCCCCCCCGCGGGTGGGGGAGCTGGATGGGCCTGGGGGGACTGGGCAGCTGGGAGAGAGGGGGGCCGAGTGGCCAGACGCATACCTCGGCTTCCTGGGCTTGGCCCGTTCCAGCGGCCCACATACCCGCCAGGGGCCCGGCCTGACACGATGTGGGCGTAGCTCTGGGGCTGGAAAGAATTTTTCTCCCAGGGGCCAATTAGGAGGGTGTTTGGGCCTTTCCGCAGCTGCAGGCCGCGGTGCCTTGAGTAGGAGTGTGCGTCCCGGCACGGGCCGCTGGTGTGTGCTCATCGCAACTGGCAGCTGGTTTCAGAGAGCGAAGCCAACAGTGTTCAGAGGCCAAAGGCCTGGCATTTCGGTGATGGGCTTTGGGCTTGTGATAGGGGGAGACGCTGTGGGCTGACGCCAGGGCTTGTGGTCCTCACCTGGGGGGAGCACAGTCCTGGGGTGGGCTGAGGAGAAGGGGCCTGCATGGGAGAGTGGGTGCCCTCCCTTCTGTAAGAAAAGCTGCAGCCTGCCACTGAATTCCTTGCAGGGGTGTGTTCTGTCCATGCGGGCTGTCTGTGGGCCCTGTGGAGCATGGATGCTGCAGTCACTCGCCTGTACAGCGCCTAGCACAGTGGGGCCCTGGTCCGTGCCGGGGTCCTTTGGTGCCACCGCGATGGAAAACAGCATCATTGCCCGTGTAAACCCTGGCAGCTCAGATTCCAGGCCCCCACGGCTCTCTGTGCCCGCTAGTCTAACAGTGCGGGCAGAACAAAGCGCCACTTTCCTGGGTCGCGGCGATCAGGGAGTAGCGCTACTTCGCCCGCATAGACGGACGGGTCGGGGAGAGCCATGGAGCACTCTGCCTCCGAATCAAAGGCCTGGGGGTGCGGAATCTCCGTCGCTGGGGATATTGAAGATCAGGTTGCACTAACGCCTGTCAGGGATGAACTAGATGGTGCTTGGTCCTGCCATGAGGGCAGGGGACTGGACTTGACCGCCCGAGGTCCCTTCCAGTCCTAGTGTGCTATGGCCTTGGCCCCCCAGGGGAAGACGAGTGCTTTTTAAAATCTGGTTCCAGCTCTGGAGAGGTCTCAGGAAAAGAATTCAGACACATTTCTCCTTTGGGTGAAGGGGGGAACAGTTCACATGTTCTGTTGCGGCAACTGTCTCTCTGGGCACAGATTTCTGCAAGGCGGGTTAGTTGTGCAGAAATGCCTTGGGAAAGCTGCCTTGCACAAGCAAGGGTTGGCCACTTCCTTTTACCGTCGCTCCGACACTGTCGAAATCAGCTCGGGACTGCGGAGAGCCCCACATTACAATACCTGTGCTCTTTTCTCCTGCTCGCCCTGCCCTGTGTCCGGCTGCTGCCTGGAATGAGCATTGAAAAGCTGGGGGGTTGACAGGTTAAAAGGGTGTGGGACAAATGAAGCCTCAGCTAGAAAGACTCAGGCAGTGGTGCTGAAATAATGGAGTCTGAAGACTTTCATCATAACTACTCCCGCCAGCTGCAGCTTGGCTTTGGCTGAGGTCATCCCGGGCGTTGTTTCCCAACTGTTGCACAAGTCTGGTGTTATTTGCGTCCCTGCTGCCTTTGCTGCACGTATCACTGCCCCTGGATTTTTCCGTGCCAGAAAGGGGCACTATTCCTTTTGCACTTTGTCTTGTACAATGTAGTTTATACGCTGCTACTTACCTAGGGCTCTGAAACGTTCCCGTGCACTTGCACTTAAAGCTCATGATGGCTTATTCCACTTGGCCAAAGAGGGGCTGGTACGTCACCGTTCCGGCCAATGGTAATTTCCCACTCTGCCGGCGGGACAGGGAAGCGTGAGGGACAGCGTGTGCATCGCACTGTAGTTTCCTTCAGGAAAAATACCCAAAGCTGTGCCAAGTCACTAAGGCATAAGCCCTTGGACCGGCTTCTTTCCCCTTGCCAGTAATGTCGTAGAGGATAACTGGTCACGTAGGAAATGCAGATCCATGACCGCACAGAATGCAGGTGCTCTCCAGCCTCTTAATACCCCTTCTTGTTTTCTTTGCAGTTTCTCACTTCTGTTCATATTCAAGTGACAGGTAAGAAAAACTCACCAGGCAGGGACCTGCAGATGTGAGCACCTACCTCAGAGTCCTCTCGCTCACTCAGACAGAGCGCCCCGCGTCGCGAATGGGGCTTTGCCTGAGAGCGGCCTGCGGGCCAGGCTCCCTGGGGCTTGCCCTTGCTGTGGGGCTGCTCGTGTGTCCAATGTCACACCCGTATTTAGATCCTTTGCGGGCTGGGCTTCAGAGAGTGGTTTTCTCCTGTCGGTGGGAGTCTTTCACGTGCCAGCAGAGGAGAGAATGGCATTTTTAAAAATAGAGAAATGTGCTCAATAAAGCCCCCCCCCCCGAATTGTGAGTGGAATTCGGGGGCAGAAGTGTGAGACACAAATACTTTTAATGTATTTCTTGGCCGGGACTCTGTTTCAAACCGAAGGCCTCCACGTGAGAAGGAAGTTGTGGCCGTTCTGTCAGCATTTAAAACCCACCCGGTCGTCTTGGTGTTTTTCACACGGCTTGAGCGGGTCTCCTGCACAGGCTGTATTTTGCGAGGTGATTGGACGCTCAGAAAACCAGAACGCAGGCAGACTGTCCTCCTGTCTAATCCATTGGCTCTAGTTATCCAGCGGCTCTAGGCCGGCACACTGCGCTGTGGATGGGCTAGAGAGCCTCTTCCGCGGAGAGGATCCCCGCATTCATCTCCTGTCCAGGCACTAGCCTCCCCGGGCAGTGTGTGCGTGAGAACTGAGAGGCGTTCTGCCTGAAACGTTAAGTGGCCCCGTTGCTGTTTCTCAAGGTAAGGTCATTGTGCAACTGGGAGTCAGACAATGACACTGAAAGGCAAGGCCATGCCGGGCCCTGAACCGAGGGCCCTGGGCCGGAAGCTCATGGGAGCCGCGGCCCTTCCTGCGAGCGGAGTGGGTACCGAGGCGATGTGGGAGAGCTCAGGTGCAACGATGGCGGCCACAGCGTACACGGTGAGAGGCTGCCTCCTGCTGCGTCGTGCCAGCCCCTGCCCGGCCCGCAGCTCCCAGGCCCCCGCCGGCACCGTGCTCAGCGGCTTAGAAGTGTCAGATCGAGTGGTGACTCACCCCAGGGCGCCTCCTGCTGGTCTCCTCAGGAATCAGCTCTTCAGCCTCAGAGCGCCCCCCATTACCTGTCTCTGCGTGGTCCGGCCCCGTGTCCATCCTGGCCCACGCCCTTTCCTCACGGTACTGCCCTACAGCAGGGCCCCCGCACTGGGGGTCCTCCCCACCCAGGGCACCCCTGCCCCACCGTGTCTCAGTGACCCACGGCCAGTCGTCAGCCTGCCCCGGGGTGAACTGCGGTCTGACGGCCACTCCTCACTGCCTTGCCCTGCCCTGGCTGCCCCCCTGCAGCCCTAGGGAGTGGGGTCAGGCCAGAACCCCCAGCCCTGCCAGCTCCGTCTCAGGTACCCTCTGCAGCTTCTCTGGCAGCCAGGTCCCTCCCGCCCCACAGCTGGAGCAAGAGCTCTCCAGGAGCCCCTACTGGTACAGCCCCAGCTGGGCCTTTGTTGGCTGCTCCCCACGGCAGCTTCTCCCCAGCCCTCTCCTGGGCTGCGCTCGGCCTGGAGCGGAGTGACCGCCCTGCTGCAGAGCCCGGTGTCCCGAGAGAACCTCCCCCAGCTTTCCGCAAGGTGTAGTGCTGGTGTGCTCAGCCGGCCCCTCTCCCACTGCCCGGCCCGGAGACACCCCTGGCTGCATGGCTGGGCCCTCGAGCGCAGCACTGACCCCTCCTGTGCAGCTGCTAAGGCCGTGTCACAACGAGGGGACAGGCAGATGGACTCCAGGGCGTCACCATGTGCAAGGCGGGAGGCGTGGAGAAGAGGAAGAATGGGACGGCCCTGCATGTATTTTGCTGGACTCTTTTGCCACTAACTTCCAGCTGCTAGCGGAGGACTTGGTCTGATTCTAGGTCAAAGTCCTTGCAAATACTATTGAACCGCCAGGCCAGTTGCTCCCTTCCCCAGGCCGGCTGCAGTCTGCATGGTCACTTCTTGCAGTCGCGTCTGAGGTGCAGCCACTGTCCAAACACGCCGACAAAGCACGGTGAGAACGTTTGGGCGTTGAGCGTAACCATTTTATCCCGAGTGACGCCCTTGGGGATAGGGGCCATGCGTTTGTGTGTCCTGCAAAGTGCCTTGCGCACCGTGGGCCCTGCCCAAACAAGCAAACATTAACATGCCGGTAATTATAAATGGGTCGTCAAATGTCTGCAGCGTAGTGCGGGGGCTGTGACTTCATCCAGACTTGGAAAGCACCGTGTGAGCGGTGTGATTCGTAACCATGGTGCTGGTAATCAGGCCTGCACTTCTGTGGTGCTTGTTCTGTTGCTGTTTGTGTGGGCTGGGAGAAACTCTGACCACCCAGCCCTTGGGAGTTGATGTACATTAGTGAAACAGCAGCAGTGCTCCCGCACCGGTCCCTCGCCCACTGGCTGTGCAAGGAAGTCTTAACTCTGAGCTTCTCTGTGCAAATTGGGCCCGGGCAGCGGGCTACCGGAACAGGGGAAACCTAGTGCAGAGTTCCCCAGAACTGAGCAGAGGAGCTGGAACGGGAGGGACGTGCCACGGATGGCAATGCAAGTACTGGAGAGCTAGGTAATGTCATAGCGACAATGGCCCGGCGCTTACACAGAGTCAATGTCTGTGGTCACAGTGGCTCCGTGATGCAAGTCTCTGGGTGCCCAGGAGGAGTTTCTGGTCCGATACAGTAAGACCTGCTCTGCGCTTGTGTTAGCAGTCGCCGAGTTGAACTGCTCACGTCCCTTCATTTCCATTTGCTAGGATCCGAGAACTAGCAAGACCAAAGAAGCCCAAAGCCGCCTGGGAGAACTATAGTAGGTACGTGGGAAGAGCCCCACGCGACGGCGCTATGGGCGTTGGGCCTCCGTAGCCAGCACGCAGGCGTTCCAAGGCGCGGCGGGCTGCGAATGCTTTTCTCCTGCACTGCTGAGCCGTGTCTGACGCCTGGCGAAGACCACGGAATGCGGCTCTGCATTTCCTGGGCCAGAGGGTCCACGCTAACCACAGCAGCCGTGGTCAGGGTCCAGGCTAAGGCCATCCAGGCCCCTGAGAACAGAGCACTTACGCCTTACTCTAGCGGGGTCAGGGATACTGTAGCCCTCAAGGCTCACCTGCCACTGTGCGCTGACACTGCATTTTGCCTGCTCTCGTCCTTGTTCCCCCGCACGGTTTGGATCGCTGGGGGCGGAGCCTGGGGAGACAGCCCACCCCCTACTGGTGCACACGCACTGGGAGCCTAGAGGGCCGTGGTGGGAAGGAGCGGGGCATGGCATTGAGAGGGCTGCTAACACTGCAGGACAGTGGCTGCAGCTGGTACCATGCACGTTGCTCCTCGGTGGCTTTGCGAGCTTGGGAGAGCCCCAGAGGCTCGGTGCCGGGCTTAGGTGAGTGATCATCTAACAGGAGTTTGGTTCCCTTGCCTCCACAGTCCCTTAGAATGGGGGAACCAGGAGACCATCTGGCCCCTCTCCCCGAGTGCTTTGACGGCCCGGCCGACACCACGGATTATGTCCCTGGCCAAGCCCAAGCAAAACGTTGATGGGAACCTTCAGCGCAGGTTGGTGTGTTCCGTCGGCTGGCACGCTGCCATGGGCGAGCGGGAGCCCGGGGTGAGTGACGCCGGGAAAGGCCTGGCAGCCGTGCAGAGCTGCGTCCCGCCTGTTGGGCAAGAAGAAAGCAGAAGTTTCTGCACTTCCATGTCTTGCTCGCAGCCCGGCCTGCCGTGGTCAGCTTCCCTCTGAGACCTGCAAGGCAGGTTGTCAGGCCAAGGGCTCTGCAGCTCCGGCCGAGGTCTGCAAGCCTGGCGGGAAAGGGGGCGCAGGGGTGTAAAGCACTGGGTGTCTCTCGAGAGTGGCCACACAGGGGCAGCAGCTCAAGCCCCTTCTAGGGTGTCTCCGGTCGAGCCCCCCAGAGATGGAGTCGGCAAATAGCTAGTCGCCGTTTCAGAATCCTGGTTCTTCATGACACAGCCCCGCTGGAAATACCCACAGTGCAATATGCTGTCAGAAGGGTGAGCAGTGGAGATAGGGTGGGATTTGTGTGGTGAGGAACTGCCTTCAAACTGCCCATGGAAAGGACGAGTTCAACCCTTCTTCCCCCCGCCCATGCTTGAAAAGGCCTCTGTGCCTGCCAGCAAGCAGGTATCGGCCTGGCCGGGCCAGACAGTCCTGCAGGCAAATGCCCACATGTGTTTTCGATGGGCCTCACTTGAGTGCACGCATGGGGGTGCTTGTGAGCCTGAGCTCGGAGTGCATTTGAGTTCTCCGGGCTTGGCCGCGCACGCCTGTTGTCACTGCCGTGCAGAGGGGTCTGGCCGGGGCTGACTCTCTTCCTTATGTCTCTCCTGGCATTCCCACAGGCGCCTCTACTTGTACAGCTGTGGCCGGGTGTCAGAGATCTGGCAGTGCCCGCCCCGGGTGAATGTAGCTTTACCGTTGCCTCGGACGCTGAAGCTGGCAGAACCTAAGAAATACCAGGCAGCGTACTTCCAGCGAAGGTAAAAGAGCCCCCCCCACTCTGGCTGCGCTGCTCTCGGCAGAATTAACACCCAAAGCAGCGTGTCCGGCTGGAGTAGGAGCAAACGGGGACTGAGCGGGCTGGTGTAGCTGTGCTCTGGGGGGCACTTGCTGGTGGTCAGCAGATGCAGGCTGCTGTCGTCGTGTGAGCTCGGCTCTTCCCAGCCTCAGGTTGGCTTGTAAGAAGCTAAGCACACGCGCACACCCGTCCACCTGCATGCACACATACACATGCATGTGTGCACATGTGTGCATGCGTGCACACACATGCACACAGATGTGCATGCACACATACACACACACGCAGCGCTTGCTTCGCGTTCCCTTGCCCTGCCCAGAAGGGAAGTGGCTACAGAAAGGCAAACGGGCGGGCCCGGCCGCAGGTCTCTGTCCATGTATGGCCCCCAAGCACCCTAGGAGACGATGAGAACGCCCTGCAGCGCACATGGCTGTAGCAGGGATCCTGCGGGGCCAGCCAGGTGGGTTGGGGACAGGCTGGAGGGTGGAGCAGGAGAGCTAAGGGCCCACGCGCCATGAACCCGACGAAGCGCAGAGAACATTGGCTCAGAGTCAGAGCGCAGCCCAGAGTTAATAGACCCTCCCCAGAGCTGGCCACAGGGCCCGAGCGAGTCCCTGCACCCACCTCCGTGGTCTCTGGCTCCTTTTCAGCCCCGCGTGGCCACGCTGCCAGCCTGCTCCCGGGCGACCCCCAGCCCTGGGTCCAGGCACCATCTGGCCCTGCTCCAGCAGCAGCAGCAGCGTGGGCTTCCCCCGACCCCCTGTCCTCTCTAGCCCTGCCAATCAGCCCAGAGCCCGCCAGGGAGCTCCTGCTCTGGAGTGGCATTCCCCTCCTCCAATGGGGAGTCAAGCCAGCACCCCTTAGCATTGGGACTCTAGGCCCTCCCCCTCTGCCCTCACTTCAGCCAGGGCTGGCCCGTTCACACCCTCCCGCGTGGCTGTGGCGTGGGGCGTAGCAGGCTGAACTGAAGGAAACGAGCGGATGCTGGGAGGGTCCATGTGGCATGTCTGTGTCTGCCTGCAGGCCTCGCAGTTCCCCGGAGTGGCTGGTGTCCACGGCGGCGCTCACCTGTGAGGCTTCCCAGCGGGTTCTGGAGCTCGCGCACCCCAAGTTAGTGCACCCTGACTTCCTGCTGGACAGAAAGGTGATGGAGCTGGGGAGGGATCCTTCGGGGACGGGAACCTGTATCCGCAGCACAGTAGCTTTGGTTGCTGCAGCCTGAACACAGGCAGAGAGTGCGCACAAGGGCCAGTCTGCACCAGAAATAGCCGGGGGCTCTGCCAGGGCTGGAGGGGGGACGCGGGCTGCTTTGCACTTTCTGGTTACGAGGCCAGACTTGCCTTGGCGGCTCAGCCATGCTGGCGGGGGCCATTTTGAAAAGTGGCGTTTTCTTGTACTTTAGTGGTGACTCAATGGTAACCCGTTTGCAAGTCTCGGGATGGCTTTGGGTGGTTGATGAAGCTAATAGCGGTGGCAGAAGATGCGTAGGCTTCTCCGGGGATTTTAGCTCGGTACCGCACAGCAATTGGATTTAAACACTCAGATGAACACGGCCCACGTGAAATCGATTAAAACTGGCCACCTGACAGGTCTCACCTGTAACTAGGTGGGGAACTGTCACGGCTCCTTCCCCACGATGGCATGATAAATGCAGAAGTGGAGGCCAGCAATAGTCCCCCAAAACCTTATCTCCCAGGCTCTGGTATAAAACTTCGCCCCAAAATCTTAACAACCCAGATTTTGGGGATAAAACGCCACTGCCATCACCCAAATATTACTAAAGCAACCAGGGAGAGACTACTTGGGAAATCTCATCCCCAAAGTACAAACCAGGACACAACCATTAACCACTGCCAGGTTAATAAAAGAAAAGAGAAAGAACTTTTATTATCACCACAATATTCCTGTTGCCAGCATACTGACTAGATGGAGCAATAACAAAATTATATCCTCATGGAGGAGAAATCTACCATGGGCCAGGAACTTAGTTACCAAGGAGAGCAAAACCCATTTTTAAATGCACAGACCAGATCCCATTCCCCAAACCATAAAACAATAAAACCGAACGGATTTATCTAAACTTCACCCTACTTCCAGACAGCGAAGAGTATATTCTTAGAGGGAGACATCCCGTCCCCTTCAATAGCTGGAGAGAAACTACCCTGAGACAAAGGCGGGAAAACCCCCAAAATTCCTTTGTCCCAGTTTGAAGTTCCTACCTACAATTCCAGTGGCTGCCTGCCACTTGGTTTAGGTAAGGGACATATTTAACCCCTTAGTCCCCGGGGTGCTGGCTAGCCCTCATTGTCATGACAGGAACTGTCATGTGGTCTATCCAGCGGGTCCTGCAGGGGTCAGCTCCAGGCCCTCTCCTGTTTAACATCTTTGTCAATGATCTGGAAGGAAACAAACGTCTCACTGTTAAAGGTGAGAGATGGCACAGGGCTGGCAGCTGGGAGGAGCGCGGTGCACAGAAGGGGGGGCGCACAGAACCAGAGAGCGGGAGCCAGGGGAGCAGGAGGCAGGTGATTTTCCATGGCACAGCTCGGCGGGCTACCGGGCACACACGCTTTGGAGAGTGGACTGACCCTTTTCTCTCTTCACTTACGTCACGGCTCAATTCCCCAACCTGGCACTTGGAGTGTAGGTAATAGGGGGCCGGCTAGCAGAATAAACCCTGTCAGGACCTGTCTCTGTAATTCCCAGAGACAAACCTGTCTGCTTTCAGTTCCCTGAAATCCAAAACAGAAACGACTAATCGCTGCCACCACCAAGGGAGTGTCTAGACTACATGGCTCCGTCGACAGAGCCATGTAGGTGAGTTTACTAGACATAGGAAAATGAAGTGGTGATTTAAATAATCGTCGCTTCATTTTCATCAAAATGGCTGGGGCGGCT